ACCAAACCATTCGGTTCTCGATTCGGATACCCGTTCGGGTATTTCATTTTAAAAAGCCCGCTCGATTCGGTTCGGTTCGGTTCGGTTCCGGTTCGGTTCGGTTCGGTTCGGACATTTTGCCCAGCCCTATTGAAAACAATGAAATTGATTTTGGTTTTGAAGATTAATAGAGTCCAATGTCGCTTTATATAGGTTAATTAGTTGATAAATGAAATATTATAAAATCATGTTTATTCTGAATGCTTTTTCTTTTCATTTAATAATTTTTAAGAAAAGGATGTGTTTGTGTAGGTTAGAAAACAATAATTTACAGTTAAAGTGCCCAAGTCTTCTATCAGAAGCTTCATGAACTGGAGGCTAATTTCTGCGTTCATATTTTCACTAATGATTGTCTTTGCATAGTTAGGTTAGCGTAGGTCTCCAGCTCAAAGAGAAAGTGGGGAGGAAAAGAAAAGTTCTTGCTTGTGAATATCTGAAAAAAGTTCATTTAAATTGGTATTTTTCCAATCAGTTTTTAATTAATTATTCATGAAAGCATAATCTATCAGTACACTCCAAGTTAAATATGGCCAAGTTATGTGATTTGTTATTTATTTTTTTATATTTTGTTGTTATTTTTTGTTTGGTGGTTATATTGATCTGCACAATTTCCTGTCCATCAAAGACCATAAAACTATACATCCATAGCAATAAGCTTTCAACAAGTTTTACAAAAGGTGAAGGAGATAGCGGTTTTTCTAAATAGACATGCCATTAACTTATGTTACCGTTTCGGAGGGTGATTTTAATGTCCACATTTCAAACTTTGTTATGGTTATTCAAACGTTTGATCTGGGGTTTGAACGTGTTATTTCGTTGTTTGTGATTTTGTGTTTTTTTCGTTCGACGTTAGATATGAAGATATCGGATGTTAGTGTCCTTTTGGCTTCTTTTTTTACATTTATTGTCTTTGTTCGTGGCCTCCAGATTTAGTTTTCGAATGTGTTTTTTTACTGATCAAGTGTTGAAAGATTGAACATTCCTTTTGGTCTTCTATATTTGAGTTGAAAAATTCGGATTTGAAGTTTTTTTTCCTTTCTTTATTGAAGATTTACTATTCCAATCTGTTATTTGGATTGTTATTATTTGATGATGAAGAGCAATGGTTCGAATGTTTTATTTTGCTTTCAATGGTTTGTGTTGTTTCCATTTGAAGTTTAAGCTGATGGTTTAGGGTTTTAGTGTCCTTGTGGCTTCATTTGTTACCCTTATTGTCTTTGTTATTTTTGTTGTTGGTGATCTCAAGATTTAGTCTTCGAGGGTGTTTTCTTATTGTCAAGGTGTTAGTAGTTCGAAAATTCTTTTTTATCTTGTATATTTGAGCTGTCGATTTAGTCGTTGAAGGTTTTATTTCCCTTTTTCTTTTTTTCTTTTCTTTTTTTTTTAAAAAATTTAGCATTTCAATCTATTATTTGGTTTTTCATTAGTTGATGATGAAGAGTTAGGGTTAGAATATGTTATTTTGTTTTCTGTAATTTGTATTATTTTCATTTGAAGTTAAAGTTGAAGATTTAGGATTTTTGTGTCCTTATGGCTTAACTTCTTATACTTAGCCCCCGTTTGGTGCACTTTTTTTGGAAAAAGAATGCATTTTTACTGTTGATGTGATGTGGATTGAAAAAGAAGAAAAATTTATTAATGTGATGAAAAATATTATTTTATTGAAGAATGTGTGGTTAAAAATGAACAGAAGAATGATAATGAAAAAATAATGTGGCTCAAACAGGGCCTTATTGTTTTCGTTCTCTCTGCGTATTCATTAATTTCTTGGCTGAAAATTTTTGTGATTATGCTTATCTCTGCCTTTCAAGTTCATTCTATCAATAGAAACATACATGCAACTCATTGTCTTGGTATTCATTTTCTATAGCTGAAAATTTTCATGCCATCTCATGATTACCGTCTTCAAAGTGCATCTTCTCATCTCCTATTCCATATTTAAGTTCAAAATTTACCCTTTAAACCTATTATTTTTTCTATGAGGTCGAGAATTAGTCTTTGAAGGAAATTGACACAGAAAAATTACTTGGTAAATGTGACAAAAGTGAAGAATCTTGAATACTTCATCTAAAGGTAAGCAAAATTTAAATTCAATTAGAAATTATTTTGGCGTGTATTTTTATGTATTTTTTTTCCTTTGTGCCTACAAGATTATAAGAATAAGACATATTTTTATGGTTTCTTTTGCGCTCAAGAATTCTATCTTAGCTAATGGAGATTTATTATTATTATTTTCAATTTTATTTAGTTCTTTTGATTTTGTGTGCAGTGTAATCATAATGTCAAATGAGGGCAATTTACCACAACGCCTCTTTCAATTTTTTGGGCCATCATCTGGACATAATGTTAGACATATTCACAATATTAGGAAAAATGGACATATATGTCGCTTCACAGTAGGTTGGTCAGAGTATGTAAGACATAAAAATATCCAAGTGGGTGATACGTGTGTTTTTGAGCTCCTCGGTGAAGATGAAGAAATATCAATGTTTGAAGTGTACATGATCTATCCTTCAGATGGAAGCTTCATTCCTACGTAAATTATGATATTATGCTCCTAGCTTTTTACTCATGCTTACGTTTTTCCATTTTTTGCCCTTTTTGCACGAACATTGATACATAAATATCTTTCACAAATTTACTTTTGTGGACATGTATACACTCCCATTGATAAGTGTTTCACAAGTTCTTCTATATTAGTTGCACTCCATTTAAATATACCTATTTTCAACCAAATTCTTCTATATTAGTTACACTCCCTTTAAATATACATAATTTCAATTTTTTTTTCTTTTCTTTTTTCTAAATAAATATATTCAATTGTGGATTTTCACATTTCTCTTATATTATTAAGTGAATATCTTCATTTGCAAATTCAAACTTTTGACTCATGGATTTCATCACAATTTTGAAATGATAAATCTGATGGAATTTTTTTATCCTTGTTTTACCAACCAGTATTATCATTCTCACCTTATACATAAGTTACACAAATAACTAACTACAATACGTCAATCAATGAGTAATTAACTTTTAATTCAAAATTTTAAAACGTATACTTGAATTTTCAATTTTTTCTCCAAAATACTACAATCTCTACTCTAATAAAGACAAAACAAATACAAATTTCGTACAACGCAGATAACACCGACTAGTAATTAATAAACATCTTATACGTCTGTCCTTTTAATGTTATTCAATAGTATCAAATTTAGCTTTCAAAAATGTGCCATAAGTAGATAAAATTTCACAAAAACAAAAAGGAAAAACCTAATTCAAACAGGATAATTGCATTGGGGTCCCCATCTTATGGGTATTGTCGGAAATAAGTCCTCCATAATTCTTCATTGACACTTAAATCCTCGCTATCCTTTTTCTGTTTTTCACAATTCAATCCAACGGCTATCCCCTTTTCACCTACTTTACTCTTCAACTTTCAAATTTCCGACACTACAACGGTCATAAAAACAACAATTTTATAAATCTCCAAACCCTCGTCTTGATTACAAAACTAGCCGTTACCAATCTCTCAAGAAATCCACATTCATTATCTTCATCAAATCAGTTTCAAGATCTTCGCACAATCATAATTTCTGCTTCAAGATTTTCTTTCCTCTCACAATAAAAGAAGATTTTCTTCTCTCCAGTCCTTATTGTTTAGAGTAGAATTTCTGTTCATCAATGGCGGCATATTCGAACAGATCTCCTTCTCCACTTTCCACACGACCCGGTAATCCAAATCCCAAAATTTCTGAATCTAATTCCGGACCCAGACGGAGTTTCACTGGAAACCCTAATTCTCGACCATCTGTTCACACGAATCCGAAAAACTTTTATCCCAGTACCCCTGCCAACAGCCCTTCAGGTTCGTTGGTTTACTTCTGAGATTTATTTATTTATTTTTATTTATTTATGATTTTTGTTATTGATTTGTGATTATGAATTTTCAGATTTTGCAAGAAGACGCTCGGTGGGGAAAGAAGGTATCGTTGCTAAAGAGAATGATGATCACAACTTAAAAGCAGCAAATATCCGGCAGGCAGGTTCGGGTTCCAAGAATTTCATGTCTCCAACGATTTCTGCAGCCTCCAAGTTCACTCCATCACCAAGAAAGAAAGTTTTGGTGGAGAGAAACGATCCAGTTCGGACTTCAATTTCGCTCTCCGATGGAAAAGCTGTTTTTTTATCTGCGAATTCCGAAGATACCGAGCCAAAATCTGACATGGATTCAAATCTGAACAAGGTCTGGGGAAGTTCTCTTGACTCGAAAGTTTCTGATACAGCAGAGAGAGACGCTGCTCTTGAAGGTCCTCCAGTTTCCAAGCCATTGAAGAGAGTGACATTTTTAGAGGTACCTTCAGATTCTGAGAATACATTTGAATCAATGTCGGATACAGTAATTATAGATTCTGATTGTTTTAATGAGAACAAGACTTCTTGTTCATCTGGACCCCCTGTTATAGCTCCACTTGATGCTGATCCTTCTATGCCTCCTTATGACCCTAAAACCAATTACCTCTCTCCAAGGCCTCAGTTTCTTCACTATAAACCAAATCCACGAATAAAAATTCTTTTGAACAAGGGAAGGGAGATCGATTCAGATGAATTCAAGAAGTTAGAAGATAGTTTTATGTCAGAAATTATATCTGGAAGCAATTCAGACTCCGAAGGCACAGAAGAGTCTTCGCAGAATGAAACATCAGAGGATACTTCTTCAATCAAAATGGTGTTGGGAGTAGATGAAAAAGAAGAAAATAAGGTGCTGGAAGTAAATGAAAAAGAAGAAGAGACTCTTGTCTCTGATTCATTATTACCAATCAGTACAACTGTTCCTGATGTAATTTCTGAGGAGAATTTTGAGGCTAAAAGGGATAAGAAATCATGGGTTTTCCCTAGATTAAAATGTTTTTCTTTGCTTTTGATGTTCTTGATTGCATGTGTATGTGTATCAGTATTGGCTACTGATTCATCAGTCATTCGTGCATCTAAGCTTAAAGATTTGAGCTTGACTAATCTTTATCACCAATCAAGAGCTGCTGCTTTTACGAAAGTCAATTTGGATGGATTTGTCAGAAATGTTAATCAGTATTCAGTTGATTCTCTGTCCTATATATCTAAGCTGATTACTGATTTTGGTAGAGAAAATAAACTGGGAACTTTGCAGTTCATGAACTCGACTGATTTACAGTATGAGTTGATGATTGATGATCACTTTATGATGAAAAAGCAGTTCAGCAAAGAATTTGAAGAAAATGAGATGGAAGAGAATTTAGACGCAGAATTTCAGGAAATTGAAGAGGAAGTTTCTGCGGAGGTTGATTCTAATGAGATCATTGAGAAGGAAACTGAAGTATCAAATGTATTAGAAGAAAACCTTGAAGAAAATGAGATGAAAGAGGATTCAGACGCTGAATTGCAGGAAGTTGAGGACGAAGGTTATGCAGAGATTGATTCTGATGAGATAATTGAGACAGAAGTCAAAGACGTATACCCAGCTTCTCCTGCACAGCTTCCAGAATCCGAGCCCGATAGTCAAGTAAACATGAAGAATGAAGGAGAGATTGTCTCTTATATTAATGTTGAACAGAAGAGTGACACAATCTCAGAAGATCAGTTCGCCATAAATTCAATGGATCGTAAAATTCAAAGCGAAGCCAACATTGTTAATCCTGAAATAAGCAAAACTGAGAAAATCGAAGGTAGCAATGATCTTGATCGTTGTACACAGGCTGATCTTAAGTTATTGGATCACGAAAATTCGTCTAAAATCGATTCTCTTAACAAAGGTGTTGAGGGTACGCAAGTGGTGGCGTCGAAACTTAGTCAAGTAGATGGTAAATTTGCTGTTGTGGGAGTTTCTTGCCTAGTTGTTACATTATTGGCAGCTGCAGCTTTCACCCATAGGAATCAAAGAACTTCTACGTCGTCCAAAGCTGTCTCTTGTACTGATCCATTGTCGAGTAAGAAGACAATCTATGGATTAGCTGGTGATGTAGGGCATGTGTATCAAGAAAAGCATTCCTCTCAGAATTGGACAACAGAGGACGTATCATGTCGTTCGGAAGTTAGTAGTTTTGTGAAAAACTCGTCATCGTCTCACAGCAAAAGAAGAGTATCAAATGAAGCTCAAAGCCATGACAGGAAGGCAAGAAAATTTTCGAAAAGGGAGTCATTGGCTTCTTCTTCCTCAGAGTATTCTGGTTCTGTTTCATACGGAAGCTTCACCACTTATGAGAGGATCCCAATCAAGCATGTAAGTAGGCTGCTGCAAACCAAACAATAATTTATATAGATGTTTGTTTATAGGAAAATGCTATTTGTACTCACACATTTTTACAAAATGGTGTACTCACTCTCACAAAAAATGAGGGCCCCATGTGAATTCAAAAATGGTGGCGGTGTGGTCCCCACTCCTCTTGTGTGTAGTGAGTAAGTGAGTTTGTAAACCATGTAGTACTTCTAGCATGGTCCTTGTTTATATTGACTTTTGGTTTATTTTTTTGAAGGTTAATGGAGATGAAGAAATTATTACCCCAGTGAGGCGATCGAGCAGACTCATTAACCAGTACACTTCTCCGTGACAATTTAAGGCAGTCCTTCGATATTTGGTAACTCTGTTAGCAGTAGCAGCTGCACATCTCTGATGTGAACCACTCTCAGTTTGTTAGTTTAGTGATTGATTGTAACTAGTGCCAGCACTTTTTTTTTATTAATCTAGTTCTTGAAGTGTGCCTTAATGAATTATTTTTACGATTTTAATTGATTATTTTTGTTCATAGTTACACTTGCAATTTGTTCGGTTAACTTTCATTAGGTTCACGATTTAATCTAACCATCAAATTGAATTGGAGTTTATAAAACTCGTCCATAGAACGGTTCTCTCATACTCAACTAGGAGGAATTTGACTATATACTTCTCCTCTATGGAAAATAGTGGGAAGGGACTATTTTTTTTTGATAAAATCGACAAGTGTACGCTGATTGAACTCACGGAAGGATCTAATTTGATAATGACAACAAAAAAATATACTACTTAGAAGGCTTTAAAAATATTATCATTTCCCACATTTTGTCAACATTAGAACTGCCAGTTGCTTACCAATAATTTGAAAGCCGACTCTCTAGTTTAGAGTTTCATTTCTCGACCATCTCAATTTAACTATCTACCAGTAAAAGTTGTTTATTATTCCTTTTTCGAGTTCAATCTTTCTTTTCAATTCTATTTTTTTTATTTAGGTCATGTTTGAGTCAAATTATTTAAAATGAGAATGAAAAATATAGTCGTTATTGGGGTCCACATAAGAGATAAAAAATTTGAATTTAAATGTTGATGTGATGGATAACAGTCATATTTTTTATTTTAATGAGATAATAATGTAGATCAAACGGGGCTTTAATTTTACTTTAGATATTAGCTTCACTTTCTTTCTTAAAATTATGAAGACTGGAAAATGAATGATTTTCCGAACTTAAGCCCCGTTTGGCCACCATTATTTTGATATTATAATTTCTGGAATAATGCTTTCTTGAAAAATATGTAATTAAAAAATGATTTTTTTTATTTACGTGTAATATTATTTTATTGAAAAAATGTACTAATGATAAAATGAGATAAAAATGAATTATAAAATATTGAATATTTAGGGCATGTTTGATAGGTTACTTTTTCTAGGGAAAAGGGAAATCATTTTCCATTTCTCACTTTTGGTTGTGTTTGATATGACTTTTTTTGAAAAGAAAATATTTTGCCCTCGGTAGGCTCACGCGCCAATTTTCTTCACAATTAAGGAAAAGTTTTTCCCAACTTTTTGGTGGGAAAAGCTTTTCCAACTGCTCACGTTAATTTTTTTTTTTTTTTACTTTTTCACAATGGAAACAAATTTCATAACCAATTGCAAAAAAAAATTCACCTTAATGAATAATTTCCATTTAAAATGAAGCCAAACGTGAACAAAAAGATCCAAAATTTTAAAAAAAAATTCGGGTGGAAAACTATACCAATCAAACACACTTAATTAACAATTCCCTAGAAAACAAGTTCTAGACAATTATTTTCCCTATAATTCATTTTCTTTCTACCAATTTTCCACCATTGCAATCAAACGGACCCTAAAAAAAATCTTATTAGATTCTCAAATGATCAACTATATATATATATACTAGTTTTACAAATTTTTTAGGCAAATCTTTTCCTTGTAAAATATTTTCTTTCCACCCATTTTTCACCCTGCAATCAAACGCACCCTTATATTAAGGAATAGGAGTGAATACGTGCATCAGTTGACTAATTATGAGCCCTAAACTTCTAGTGCACTCCAGCCACAAACGCCACCGGTTCAAGACAAAATCTAGCGCGCAAGATAGTAAACAGAAACCTGTCAATTTTAAAATACGCCACTGTTGTGACATCAAATCATTTAACTTCAACAACTTCGTCTCTCTCTCGACTCTCGTAGAAATTCCATTAGTTTCTATTAAGAACTTACGATTTCAATCCAACAATAGAGCACTGTTTAATTTCCAAATTTGGATAATTCAATGGCTTCTCTTCATTTATTAAAATCCAGTCCTTCTACACTTTCAATTTCATACCAAAGAAAATTCAGCTGTTTCTGCTCGGAATTCAATTACAGGTTTCGGTATTCAAGAATTGTAATTCACAATAGAAGGACAAGAGTCTATTGTAAGAATCAAGAGAGTGAAAACCAAAGCAATGGTAAGTAATATTGTTCAAGTGTTTGTCTATATATGAACGTGCCTGTATAAATTTGAACCTTGGGACGGGATATGAAGTAAAATTGATTTTGCGGTAGATAGGAATTGTACTTAATTTCTACTTAGATTGCAGTGTTTGGAAAATTTTACAATTGATGTTGCAGTGAGGTGATAAATGATTGTAGGCATGCATTTATGTACGGCCTATTTGAGGTATTATATCGATTGCTCGTTATTAGGTGATGAAAATATCCAAGAGCAAAATCTAGACCGAGGGTCTTTTTAGCTAGTGGAGGATTAATTAAATTTCATATCCAAGAGCAAAATCTAGACCGAGGGTCTTTTTAGCTAGTGGAGGATTAATTAAATTTCATAAGGAAGATTTGAGATACAGAATATACATTTTCGCACAGAGAAATGCACAAGCGTCTTTTCTATCGGTTTTCTTCGAGTTAATTTTAGTTCATGAAATTACATGAGCTATTCATGAAATATTGTGGAACTGCAATGCATCAAATGAGGGCATTGAAGACCGGAAATGATGGTAGCTTGCGAAGATCCTTTGCTGCTAGCTGCAAAATCTTATTTACCTTGTTATCATATTAAGATTTCCAATTAAGGCAATGTGACTGATAAAATACACCTTATAATTTAGTACTTGTTCTTTTAGCTTCTTATTAGCTACATAATAAATCGTGTAATCTGAATTGCTTTGCATATTATGAATCCATCATGACCATAGGCCATTACGTAGCTAATATGGGACAAAGAAGTTTATACTGTTGCATCCGTTTGGTACTTTAATTCCTTCCTTTGGTTGTTAACTTGATTGGATGTGCCCACATGACTATGGTTGTTGTGATTGATTTCAGGTGAAGAACCTCCTGAGTCATTGTTTATGAAAGAATTAAAGAGGCGAGGTATGACACCTACTTCATTGCTCGAGGAAGAGAATAGGAGCATTGAGAGCGATGATCAAATGAAGTTCAAAGAAGAAGATCGGAGTTTCTCACTTAGAAATGCAGTGAGAACAGATTCTGAAATAAACCTACTTAATCAGAGGGAGCAGTCTATGGCACTGAACAGTGAAGGCCTTGAGGTGGTCACATTCTCCCTTTTGTTTTCATTTAGTTAATTTAATAAGTTCAAAGGTTCTGTCAAAGTAGTTTATGGTGTTTTAGGAATTTGGATTCTTTATCTAACTTGGCTGTCCATTATAATTCATTTAGTAATTTTGCAATTCTCATTTAAGTTCCATATATGCTACACTTTTTTCCTTTGAGCAATGAGATTGTAATGTTGCACTATTTCCCACACTTAAAACACAAATTAGAATTATTATTTAGCCATTGAACTATGCTTCCAAACTTGAGTTGTTTTCACTCGGAATTAGAGTATTTTTCTCCTCCGGACTTCCAGCCATACGAACTCAGTGCTTCAAATCTTGTTATCAAATAACGAAATATGCATTTTACCCAACATCTAGGTGCTTATACGATAGCATTCTTGTCCAATTGATACCAGAGGTTTTATCCTTGTAAGGGCATGGCCAACTAGATTGGTAAAATGAAGTTGAACAAAATAGTGTGTATATGAGTAATTATGATCTGTTTAGTTTACATAAGGTCTACAGAATTAGTAAAGGAATTGTAAAGAGACTTTATCAGGATTCACCTCACATGAAATATAATATAAACAATGTTTCTCATTGCTTCAGATATATTCTGTGTAAAATTCTACTTAATTTCTTGGTCCCACCTTTATTTGTAACCATTATATGACTTAGATCTTTATTTTCCCTTTTTATGTTAGGGTTTGATTCCACGGGCTAAACTTTTGCTTACCCTTGGGGGAACTTTCTTTTTGGCTTTTTGGCCATTGATTCTCGTAACTGTTGCATCATTTGCTGCTCTGTATCTGGTATGTTCCCTAACTTGTTTCAAATACATTTGAACCACATCTATTGTCATTTAAAACAGGTTTTATTATTCCCGGAAACTACGTAGGTGACTTACATTATGGTAAATATGGTTTATAAGATCAATATAATCAGCAACGAGTAGCTGGAAAAAGAAAAAATAATTGTTCTGATGCTGGAGGAAAATTTTATCTACCAATGAAAAATAATGAGATGAAGTGAGGCCAAGTATGGAAATCTATATCAGTTACTCTTACTAATGGAAAATAATTAATTTGGCTGCACTAGCCTGCTTTCTGTGCTGGGATCATCGTAAACTAACTTTGGTATTCTCAACTTTTAACCACTGCGTGTGTACAAAATTTGGAAATTACCCTGTAATTAGGAAAGATTTTTAAGAAAATGGTATACACCTTACCTTGATTCTTATATATTTTTCCCCTACAATCACCGTCAAGTAATATATTCTTGCAAATGGGTTAGATCACTCCGAATTATTGTCCAATCTTTGCAGTATTATTCATTTTGGGCATCATCATTTTATTTAATCAACCTCTAGTAGATTTGCCCAATTTCTTGATTATTGTAATTGTCAGCACGAATGATAAGTTCTGCACATTTTTCTTTGGAGTGAGTTTCTCCATATGATAATCATTGATCAGATTTTTCCTTCTCTTTTTAATGGGGTTCATCCTGCAATATACAATGTTAATTTTTTGTTTTGCCTCTAATGTGGTTAGCATAAATTATGAATATTGACCAATGACCACTATCCTTTTCTTCACCTGCAGTATTTTGGACCATCTTTTGTTCACAATGGAAGTGATACTCCTGTCAGTTCACCTCAATATATAGATCCTTCTGTACTACTTGAAGAAGAAAGGATATATAAAACCGCCCCTAGTCTAAATTAAAGGATTGAGCACACTGACCAGCATCTCAAACGGTCAGCTATACCTTTCCTTTTCTTTGATTGCTTTGTTTTGTAAAAAAGTAATTTTTTGGCTTTTTTGTATGTCTAACCGATTGAGATACTGCCTGTCCACTTCTATTACGGACATCTATTAGATGTGTGCATATCAGCTATCTTTTAATTTTTTCACTGATTACTAAATGTGTGTGTGTGAGAGAGAGAGAGAGAGAGAGAGAGAGATCAAACTTGGTGCCATCCTGATAGCATTACGTTTGGATATAAACCTGTAAATATTGTAAAGCTATCCTACTAAAATTAATTTGAAGAATTCAAATCGAATTCCATAACTTACCAAGAAACACAGAGAAAGTAAAAACGTACTTTCCAACCAATGAAATATAGCCCCTGTTAATTTCTTTAGAACCCGTGCATATTAGCCAAGAAATACTTCACCATTTCCATATCATCTTTGTTCCCTTCAAATCCATCAAGCTCAATAACTTCAACTCGTGACAACAAGCATTCAGGCACTATTCTTATCTCTCCAAGGAGGGAGGGCAGTTCTTTATCATAATACTGAAAACTTGCCCAACACAAGACACATTTTAAAAAAATTTAAGAAGTTCAGTAGATTTTCAAGGACAAACTATCTAATACAGCTCATTACCACTCTACCTTATGTAATATGAGAACTTCGAGATTTGGGCAAACATTAGGGAGGCAAGCTATCCTACTTTGATGACTGTAACATTTTCCAAATAGCTCCAGAGGGTTCATATTGTAGGAAGCAGGTAGATCATGTCGTTAAGCAGAGTCAAGTACCTTCATATAGAAAGAGAACAGTAATGGCAATTGTCCCATGGAAGCACCACTATTTGGAAAGAAAAAAAAAATGAGAACAAAGAATACAATGTAACGCTGAAATCTTGCTTGCTAATTAGATAGTACATGATAGAACTGATGCAGAATATATGTAAGAAATGTAGAGAAACTGATATAAAAATGTCGTGCAATGATGAACTAATGTTCCACGGTTAAAGACTTTAGCTCAATTGTTCTATTAACAAAAAATTTGTGAGTAGAGGCTCATCTCATACCATGAAAAGAGATATAAAATTAAGAGAGAACGATTTTGTGTTGAATAATTAATACAATCTATGGACCTCTATTTATCTCTGTTCTAAAAAGCGCGCCGGGTAGCGTGATGAAAACGCTTCACCTTAAACCTAAGCGGGAATTAAGCGGTCAACGATAATGTTGACCGCTTAATGCTCGCCTAGGCGTGCCTCCGCCTCATGCCCAAATTTTAAAAGGGCCCAACTTTTTCCTTTTTTTTATAATAAAACCCACAGTCCAAACTCAGTAGCCCACTATCCCTTCAAATTTCAAAAACTTCAGACTCTAGAGAACTGAGAAGACGGAAGAACGGCGCAAAACCTCTCAATTTATCTGCACACCGCACTGATTTGGGTATCAGGTATGTATAACATTAGGAGTCCGAGAATGATGATTTTGTATAGTATAAATTATTAAGTAAATACAGTATTTTATAATTTTAGATATTTGGTATGTATTATTCGAATTATTGAATTTTTTTACAATGATTAAAAATTAAAAATAAAATTTAAAAAAAAAAACTTTTTTTACGCCTAAGATTCACCTAGGCTCGCTTAAGCTCGTAAAGCTTGAAGTTTGGCCTCCACGTCTAGCCACACTTTACGCTTTTTGGAACACTGCTATTTATGGTACAACAGTCAGCAAAGGTGGAAAGAAAGAAAATATAATCTCCTAAAATAGGAAAAAAAAATTTACCTAACTAAAGGTGTGATAAATAAAGTCTACACAATCACATGAATGATCTAACGTGTCATATCATTTGTGGATAACAAACTTAATTCAAATATTGTGGGTTTCATCGGTACTTAGTATAAGAAGAGCACGGTGCTCATTAGACCTCTCCTCCTTTTGCTTTATTGTATCGCCTAATTGATACGGGAATTACATTACTGTTTAAACACTATATTAGTGATAGTAGCGAGTCTAATATAGAAGTAAATGAAACTAACACAAATTCCCCGATTAGAAAAAGAAGTCACTAGTTTCATAGGTTCTATTAAATATGTAATTTCATACACACTTCATTATACAATAAACAAGATACTCTAAGATACTGAATCGAACGGCTTGAATGTTTGAAGTGACTTGATAAGTCCTCTGACCGATCCAGCAGCAGCAAGAAGTGATATAATAAAGCAAATGAGGCTAAGTATTTGCATCCAGATCCAAGTGAAGGAGAACTTGGGAATCTTTGCTTTTGAAATATACATTTCAATTGGGAAATAGACAGTCAATGGCCAGAAAGAGGCAGCTCCAAGGAGTCCCACAAAGTCATTGAAGAATGGGAATAACATAGCCAAAACAGTTGTGAATATCACATAAGTTGTTCTCCATATAAGTCTAAAGAAAGTGAAGTTGAAATTGCCGCAGAATGGCATGCCAATGGGGTATTCTTTAGTAATGAATTTACTTCTTGCCCATTTCTCACTACTCCATTTCTCGACGAAGCCAAATATTGGCTGGCAAAATACCTGCATATGTAGGATAAGAGCAAGTTTATTGAATCAGGAACAGAAATTTTTAGTAGTCTGCACACCAAACATTACGATGAACAAAATTTTAGGTTCTCTCTCTTCCTTGATAGTAGTGTCAAGTGTTATATAGTTCACCTTACTGAACAAGTGAAAAATAGTTTTTAAAATGTCATGGAGATTCAAAAGGATGGGAGAAAGTAAACGAATCATCTTAACTTAATTATTTAATTATTAACTAATGTAAAAGCTGATAAATTGTTAAAGAGTGGATCAAATTCTATATTACATCCTCAACATGCTCTCTTGCATCCATACTAATTTTTTTGATTAAGGAAGCACGTACTTCTGGTGTACCAGTTATCGTACCAATGCCAAACGCTAGGTGGCCACTTACGAAGCTGTCGGTTGTTAACTAACTTAGTCTATGTTTGGCTCATGCTTATAAATATGTTAATAAACATTCAAACCATTTTTCATTCTCACATTTTGAGGAATCCACAATAATACACATATCCACCACTAGTTTATATCTATTTATAAACAAAATCGTTTATAAACACTTCCTGAACATGTTTTTGGGTTTGAATCCTATGCAGGATGAATAAAGCCTAATACATGATATTTTTATACGCTGGTGTTAATGAGATTTGAACTCAAGAAGTTCTATCTACTTCGGTTCTACATTGAACAACCCTCTCGTTCCAGAACTTAAACAAACTAATGACTTACCTAGTATTAGACGAGGAAAAAGTAAATTAATAATCAAAATGAGGATTTATTGGAACAATGTTTACCTGGTAAGCTCCAAGTAAATGAACTACAATGCATGCATTTGCCAAATCAACAAGCCAAAAAGGATTGTAGAAGCCAAATCCAGTTAGAAAGTTTCCAGGTGCTTTGTTCCCAAATGCAGCATACCCTGCCATACCGCATAGCATATAAAATAGAGTGGAGATCGATATTGCAATTAAAGTAGCCTTCTTCATCACTTTGTTCTCTGGTTGCCCTGATTTTACTGTATCCTAAAATATCAACAAAGAAATACACTTTAATAAAACAAAAGGACTGACCCGAATCCAATGTGTTTTCTTCGAAAATATACAATGAATTTAATATGGTTAAAGGCTCAAAGTAATTATAAGAATTAAGCTAAAGGAACATAATGCTTTACATAGGGGTTGACCAACCTCTCACATTGTATGTGGGTCCCGACCTGAATTAAATAATGCCGACCTCCTCATATGTGTGTGTTGTGTCATCCCCTATGTCAAACATTATGTTTGTGTAGCAAAACTCTAATTATAAAGGGTAATGCTACATGTACATAACCATTCACATAATGGTTCACATAATTACACGTGGCATGTGATCCTGCCTTTAATTCAACTTTCACACTTACACATCAATAAGTGGATGATTGCCACATCACCATTATGTGAACCATTATGTAGAGGATTATGTACAACTAGATTAATCCAATTATAAATGACTTGTTTGATAAAATTGATGGAAACAATCTGTTAAACAATAGAATTTTAAATCTGTAACAGTCCATCACTCCATCTAATCCCGGTCTGAACGAGGATTTTCAAAGGAGAAATACATTTTATATTGAAGAAATAGATAAATTTCAATATAGGATCTTTATGCAAAACGAAATCTTTATGCAAAACGAAATGAACTCACCTGTATTTCAACAAGGACGTTAGAGAAAGCATAAGCAAATGCAATGTTTCCAAAAGCAGATAATGTATTCCACATCTTGTCCACACTTGACTGATTCTCTCCTATTGGTATCCCTGTGAGGCCAGTCTCAGCATGTCCATCTCCTCCTGTAAAGTAAACCAATGCAAAAATATAACATATTCTATATATAGATAAATAAATGTGTTAAAAAGGAGAAATTTGTCTTTTCGGTTACCTGCAACTTTGGCTATGGAGAGAGCAATGCCAATGGAGGAGTAAGCAAAAGACATAACAGCAGCAACTAGGGAAAGTACTGAAAGCTTGTGAAAATTTGGTATTTGACTAAGAATTATTTGTATCACTCCAAAGAGAATAATGAAATCATTGTTTTTTTCATGACACCCCTGTTGTTGGCCATGATTATGAAAGCAATTTGATCTTCTAATGGCCCTGTCAAATCATGAACATGATCACAGAGAGAGAGAGAGAGAGAGAGAGAGAGAGAGTCTCAGTATGGTATTATATGATAATGGAAATGTGCATCTATAGTTTGTGATGCTTACACCATGCTAATGGATGTAGTGATCGAGTATCCAATGGTAACACCAATGAGATTGCTATATTGAGCTATCCCACATAATTGAATTTTCATGCCTCCTGCACACACGTATAAAAAGAGTAGGGGGTTAAAGCAGGTTGTTTCTTACTTTTCTTTTATTTTTTGGTCAAATAACGAGGAAAGTGCGAGCATCTCCAATCGTAATGTAAAATAGATCTAAATTGTGATTTAAATTTTTTAGTGGCAGGAAACATCTCCAATGGAGATTCAAAAGAAATACAAATTGCATTTTTCGACACAAAATTACATCCACAATAGACAAAAAGTGAATTTAGATTTTTCTATTAGAGCAGGATATGAATTTAGGCACCGTTTGATTGGCGAAATTTTCCATTGAACTAGGAAAATATTTTTCATTTTCCACTTTTTTCACTGTTTGACAGGCGAAACTTTCCACAAAAAATGTTTTTCCTCCCCACCCCCCACGCGCCTATTTTCCGGGTTTTTGTTGTTTAGGTGGGAAAAATTTTTCCATGCGATTGATGAATTTATTTATTTATTGCAATGGAAACAAATGTCATAATCAATTGTAAAAAAAAAAAAATCTACTTTAATGGACAATTTCCATGTAAAGCAAAGTTATATCAACATTAAACTTTGATGTAAAAAATGATTTTTTATGAGACAATTTTTTTTTAAAATTTTTTTGGCAATGGAAACAAATTTTGTAATCCATTGTCGAAAAAATTATCACTTTAATGGATAATTTCTATGTAAAATAAAGTCAAACGAATAAAAAATTTTAAAATTTTTTAGGTGGAAAATTATACCAATGATACACACTTAATTAACAATTCCATACAAAATAATTTTTAGACAATTACTTTCCCTGAAAATTATTTTCTTTCCACCCATTTTCCATCCTTGCAATCAAACGGACCCTTAGGCTATGTTTGATAGCCATTGTTTTCCATGGAAAATGGAGAAAATGGAAAACAATTTTCATTTTTCTTGTTTTGGCCTGTTTGATAGTCATTTTTTGCCATGGAAATTTTTTTCTTACTTTACTCCACACGTGCACATTTTCATAGAAATTGTGGAATTAGTTTTCCCACCATTTTGGTGGGAAAATGGAATTCTAGGATTTTTTATTTTATTTAATTTTTATTTTGGCAATTGGAACAAATTTTATTACCAATTGTCAAAAAAAAAAATTCATTTTAACGGACGATTTCCATGTAAAATAAAGCCAAACGAACACTACGCTTTGATAAAAAAATGATTTTCTTGAAAATATTATTTTTTTGCCAATTGAAACAAATTTTATAATCAATTGTGAAAAAAATTATCACTTTATAAACAATTTTCATGTAAAATAAAGTCAAACGAGCACAAAAATATCCAAAATTTTAAAATTTTTCGGGTGGAAAATTATACCAGTCAAACACACTTAATTAACAATTCCTGGAAAACAAGTTCTAGGCGGTTATTTTATCTGGAATTCATTTTATTTTCATTCATTTTTCACCCTTGTAAATTGTAATCAAGCGGACCCTTAGATTTACTGGAATGTAAATGAAGATACAAAAGCGATTTTGGAGATACCATTGAAGATGCTCTAATCTCTGGACCGGACTATTTGACATTTCTAAGAGAATGTTAATTATGAGTGTGAATTATTTATGCCATGAATCTTCTCTAATTTCTAATATATTTACAGGTTATAAATACCTATTATAAGCTACTTAATGGAATTTAATTACCCGTTTATTATGAAGGTCTCGCTATAAATTACCAATAATCCTTGAAATTTCGAAATATTTTTGTATTGAAAATAGAAAATATAACAATGAATTATAAAAATTACCTAGATTAGATTTTACAACATCCATGTATGTGTAATTTCTTGTGCCATCTGCATCTCTGTAACAGTCTGCAAGAAGTATGGAAGTAAACCAAGTAATGAGAGAGAAGCCCACTAGTGAAATTGGGCCTACAATCCAACCCAACTGGGCTATGGCCCATGCCAAAGACAACACACCCGATCCAATCACTGCTGTTATAATATGTGCACTTGTTGTCATCAATGTCCCTAAAAACCAAAGCACAAATAAAAATTAATAATATCGTAAAATTCACTTAAAAGTACTTATAAGCAATTACAAGATATAAAAAAATATTACTTATTTTAAGTTCAAACAACACCTTTGGACTCTGATAGAACGACACTTTATTTTTATTTTTACCAATCGATTTTGGTCCGACGGTGTTGATTCTCTTAATAGAATTCTCACTAAAATTAGACCTAACCGAATTCCCCCTAATTATTTCACTTGATGTATAGTATTGAAGAACTTATCCTATTTCAATAAATCAATTTACCGGAATAAGTATTTTATATCGATAAAATATTCATTCGAGGTGATAAAACATAAGAAAAGGGTGAGCAAAAAATTTAAAAGCCATATATCGACGCAACTCTTTTTTTAAAGGAATCATGGAATACATTTTCGTGGCAAATTAAAATTCGAAACTGTTTTAGACTCAATATTTTGCCACGAATATGCTCAAACACCAATACTGCAAACTACGTATAAACAAAGAACATAATGCTATTTAAAACTACTGGTGCTACAACAATATCATATTTTTCATGAAGTGATAGGCTCAATTAAATGTAGGTAATAAATAATTTATTTTAAAAAATCATATCATTTAATATCACCAAACGGTCACCTAACCAGGTGTTCCTAACATTACTTGTACTAAATAAAAGATACAAAATTATTATTGCACTTTCAGTTTTTGAAAGAGATTATTTTCATCTTCAACTCTCTACTGATCCACCGCCAAAGGGCAAAAACCCAATGCAATGAAATTATACACATGAAGAAAAAAAAAGTAATTAAAAAAAAGAAAAAAGAAAAAGGCAAGTGTTTGAATGTAAAATAATGAAATAAACTAATGTTGTCAAAGACTGATCCTTTATGTAAAAAATAAATAGAAATCCACAAACCAATTTGATTATACGTAAAAAGTTGAGAAGTTAGAACGCGATAAAACGATCTCAGAACTCATTGTATCACCTCAAGTTTTTATTTTTTTAAGGATATGTTCGACCTCGATTCATGATGCATTACAGCCCAAATTTATCATACTTGCATTTTCTTTAAGAACACATTCAGAAATACTTACCAGTTCGTTTAATGCGGCCATCATCATCAAACTTGGAATAACCATTTCCAGTTTCTATGCCAAAGTTTGTATCTCTCATCATTTCTTCAACCTTTCTATCTCTAAACTGCTGAATAAGCAGAAAGAAACTTTTATGCGTGCTAGTCTATATTAACTGCTTCAGTCCTTCTGATATTTTATGAATCCATTTATTAAGTACAGTTGTATAATTATGTCATTAGTGATGGTAGGAATCTGGAAAGTTCAGAGTCATAATTTTTGAGTAATGTTATTCATAGTCGTTCACTGCGACAGTCGCCCTACGTGACACATACATGACAAATAGTTATTTGATGCATTAATGTGGTGATTTTTTTACCATATTAATGCATCAAACACACTTGATATGTGTGTGTCACATAGGGCGACTGTCGCAGTGAGTAACTACAAATAGCATTATTTTAATTTTTTTGTTTTCATTTCGGTAAGAATAATGCTATCTAACATCAGTAGCACTAGAACAACGGTCTAAGTGTCGCCATATAATGAGCTTGATGAAATGTAAAATCATGTGACTCATTTAACTGTTCTTATTATTTAATAACCACTTAGCACCACTTAAACTGATGTTGTAATACTAGTTGTTTTAAATAGCATTACTTTTTCATTAAAAGTATCAAAATTTAGTGAGGAGGTGTAATGACAACATTCTTAAAAATGGTGGCATTTATTTCATAACAACCCAAAATATGTAGGTGCATTTAAATTGAGTCTGCTATATTAAATCTCTACAGTAAAAAGTGTGTTATTATTTTAGACATGAAATTGGTTTCTCATATTTTGAATCGACCATTCTCCATTACAATTCGTTTCTCTTGCAAATTTAACTATTCTTCTTAATTTTACAACTCAGCTACAAAAAAACCCTAAGTTGAATCTAAAAAAGTTTCTAGGAAGTTCAACTTGACTTCATACAAAATGTCCAATTCATCTCCATAGAATATTCTTGAATTTCAAACATTGTTTGCAACGTGCGTTGAGCATTGCTAAGCCCCTATTTGATTGTCATTATTTTGAAAAAATAATATTTTAAATAGTAATTTTTTGAAAAAAGAATAGATAAAAAGTAGAAAAAAATTTTGAATTTACGCACAGAATATTTTATTTTGTGAACTTAAATTTAAAGACGAGTATAAGAAATAAATAATTTATTTTAATGGAAGTCAAACATAGGCTAAATGCTTGTTGCTAATATTTAACAGTAATGTGTAATGCATGTTGCTAAAATATTAACGTATATTGCAATCTTTTCACATTGTTAATTGTTTATTGTTGCATCCATATACTTTACAACAACATTAGAGCCATAACATATGGGTGAGTGTTACAAAATGTCTTCCACGACATTTTGTGACCGTCATGAAAAGCAATTTTTGTTATAGCACTTGCTTGGCGTGCCTTAAAAATTGTAACATACAGAATTGAACTAGTATATCATTTATGCCTAGCTGAAATGTCTCTTTTCTTTTTTATAATCGTGGATGTTCGGACCAGTTTGTTCACAGCTCGACTAATCCCATGAGTCCCTGAAGTTAACGGTCGATACATCAATGGCTCTGAAGAGAACTCGAACTGGTGACCACTGGAGAACAAACCCAAAACCTAACCAATTGAGCTACCCGTCAAGTTCTATGCCTAGCTTAAATGTCAAAAAATTAAAATTGCGAGCTAAAAAATTAATTGGGCCTGGCTGGCCTCAGCTGCCCTAAAGCCTGATGTATGTTTAAGTTTTACTTGATATAGATATGTGAAATCTTTATAGATAAGAATACTCCCAGTTTCATTTACAAATCACCCCTAAAATATGGTGCACCAAAGAATGAACTGGAGAATGTGCCTCCTCCATTGGGGAAAAGAGTAAGGAAACATATAAGAAAGAGTACACAACCCCAAGCAAACCGGTCGTTTCCTATTGGAGTGATCTCATCCTTAGCCGGGATCTCCTCCCCACCACGGAAAAAGGTTGCAAAGAGTCCCCAAGCCAGGCACAGGACACTGCCACTCAAACCACCAATGCCGAGCAGAAGTGAAGTGGCGAATGATAACAAAGTAGCCGTGCTTCTACCGAACATTGCCTGAGCAATGCGTCCTCCTTCAAGTCGTCCACAAGGAAGCAGGTTCAAAGAAGTCACCACCATGCCTGTAAAAGAAAGAATATATGTTAGTAATTAGCTATAAACCCTCTGCAGAGATCAATAACAAACTAAACCAAGAACAGAGTTGCACAGACTTGTACTGGTTCGCTTTTAATGAGACAATTACGACTATTTGCCATATTAAATTTTTTACAAGAAATCACAAGGTTTTTTGCTCACACGGTTGCACCTCTCTGTCTTATCTTACAGGAAAAAAAAAGGACCATCATACTCCTTTATATAGAGTAAGAAACTAGGTCAATCGGAGATAAGTCAACATTATAATTAGGTTCCAGGATCATAATCCAAAAATTAAGAACTTATATCTAAACAAATAATAGAACAAATGACATGCAGTAAGGAGAAAGATGAGGTCCACGTTCCATCCTCTGTCCCCCAGTAGGAATCGGTCCATACATGTCCGTGTAATGGCGCTCACATATGAGAGGGAGGGAGCCTAATCATATTTCAGTATCACTGAGAGAGGCCGTAATGAACAGAAGGAAATTTGGGGCAGGAAAACAGAAAAGTGCATTTTGAGCTCTTCACAACAAGATGGTAGTAGATACTCGAGGCTAGAGATGGTATGTTTGATTAACTGGGCATGTCAATTAGAACCAAATCTTTAATTGAATCAAGATTATCTGGTCAACTCTTCGAAATGCATGATTTCAGCAGGCGGTGGATGCAATTAATATAGTCTAGCATTCTTCCCATTTATGAAACAAGAAGACAAAATATATGAAATTGGCTTTGAAACTCACCTAAGAGCCCCGCAAATGCAAGGGGGTCAACAGGAACTCCCAGACCTTCAACTGCATAAGGTAGCACGTTCCCAAGATCATCAGTATATGGCCCAACAACGTATTGGATGAAGGAAAGGAGCGGATTATTGTAAAAGAACTGGGGTCTTATGTACCTGCACAGAAAGATACACTAAGTAGTTTTTCTAATTGAGAAAGACACACTAGGTAGCAAAGAGACACGATAATCTAAGTGCATGCTATTTAATTGGCTGAAGAGATGAAGATCACTTACAATGCATTGTCACCACCATTAAAACTGCCATCAGATATAAATGCAGCAATCGCAAGAACCAATGATGTCAGATATGCACTTGCTGTTCGTGCAACTGGAATATCAAACAAAGCCTTCTTATTTGGTAAAAGAGACTCATAATTATTCATAACCCCAAGGCATCCAGTCCAGCTGGAAGGGACTAGAAAAGATGGACTGAGTTTAACACCATAACGGGCTGCCGTTACCCTGGTGGTTATCTGCAAAACATTAAGACAAGAATTTTTTGAACGTTTAATAGAAAATAGCATGTTTAGAAAATGGAGATAGTCCTGAATTTTTCAAAATTCTTATATGAGAGAAATTTTAAGTTTTTCCTATCTGACGGAATGAAATTCAAAGCTTTCCCTGACATGTATTTCAACAATGAAGTGATGCCCTACAGCAAGCGAGGCATTTCATTTTGTCAAAAAAGCCTTTACCTAATGGGCTCTGTCAAATCCAAGTTGTTTACTTTAATCTATTTTTGAAGTCAATATTTGTTCAAAGCTTGTTCAGCTCCCATATTTTCCAAAAGCAGTTTGATCGGCCAACTAATCATCACTTCCAATGGTGAAAAAACAAAATCACTGATTAGATCTTTCCCAGAGGAAAAAAATCCTTAGATTCACAACATTGTACAATAAATGCATGGTCTTTTCCACTCACCAAAATGATGCAGATGAATTCATTTAGTATACATCATCTTTCTAGAAATGTTGATCTTTTTCATAACTTTTAACATATTAAATCTGCAATCATCCCATTTACCAAAAAAGGACACAAAGTTTTTCATGAAATGACAAAACTGGTAAAGAAGTTCATCTTACGCTATTTCTTAACTGCAGGATGCATTATGTTGGTTAATCAAGTAGCTGGAGAAACTTGCAACATACCTCTGAAACTCCTAAAATGGTCAAGAAGCCACCAAAGAGAGGTGCAACATCATTCAGGTAGTCATTAATTGTGGCATCAGGCTTGACGAAGAAACCACTCGTCAAAGCTATCGTCCCAAAAGTTGTAACGCATAAAGCTACTGCACTAACATACCCCCAAGGAGTGCTTAGTTTGGTTGACTCAAACTGGAGGTCCATCTCAGCTTTGGGTTGCACCACACATGCCTTGAGAAAAAGCCATAGTTGAAATAAGTATCAGAGGGCAGCAGAAGAAAATATCATAATGATTTAAAACAGAAATTACAAAATGCATGAAAGGCACTTGTAAGACAAATTCTGAGCTATGAGAGAACTGTTATATCCTTTTTTCATAATATATACGATAATTTTCCATTACTACCTCACATTCCGGTAGAATCTTAGGTATCAGAAACATGACATCAGGAGATGATGATCCTATAACAGCCTTAGGTTATCCAATCGTATATCCCCCCAAATAATTTTTGATGCACGATTAACTTGAATTGAGGTAAGAATCACTTCATTCTATCATATATGTTGGAATTACCTATAGCATATCACGGTCACCGCTGTACGGCTCAAAGTCTCAGGCTGTACGATAGCTAAGCATTAATTGACCAGACAATAATGCTCTATGCTATATAACAAGATACAAGGGATTCGGAAGAGGAAATTTCAAATCTACCTTCAATCAGTTTCGTCACCACATTTATAACATGACGAAAATAGACCTAACTTACCATGTACAAGATACAATAAATTGATCGCTTGAATTAGAAATTCGAAAAAAACCTAACAAAAAGACATGCTGAATCCCAAAAACTTAGATTAGTATTAGGCATATCTCTGTATGCAGTATGATTATCTTCAACATACCTGTTTTGTAATATCATTTGTTTGTTCCTCCATAAACCACACCACAACCTCCCTCCCGGCAGCTTCCGCTAACTTCTTCTCTAACTTGGGAATTACTTCCTCAATAGGTTTCCTCAAATTTCCAATAAAAATGCCGCCATCTCCAAATCTTCTGACATCAGTAGCGAAAAAGGTATCAAATCCGAAACAGCTTTTCAACTGCCATTCACAATCAACAAAAACAGGCAGAACACAATTAATGCTTTATCCATCACCATAATAAACTAAGCTTGCTCAAGCATTATAACAGATTATACCCCAAAATCTTATGAATAGAGATATGAGAAAACGAATTACCTTGTTAGATCGAGTGCATTATAACAAATTGCACCAAAAACTATATGATTAAATCATATTAACCAAGATTGGAGAATACGAATTACCTTGTTAAGATCAAGAGCCTTGAAAGTCTCCTCTGCTTGCTCCAACCTCTCTTTTTCTCTCGACAAACTGTCGCGAACCAACTTGTTAAATAACCCCACAAGTGGATTATCACTTGTTTCTCGATCAAGTTCTTTAAGCTTCCTGTCAGCCCTCTTCTTCTCAAGCTTTATTGCAGCCTCGATAGAGGGATTCCCCATGAACTTCTTGAACTCCTCGTCTGTTTTCCAATCCATTTCTTGCTGTTTCTCTTTCTCTTTCTC